ACAATGTTATGTAGCCATCACCTCTCCCTAGTTCCCATATGCTTCCACTCCTCACAAAGGAGGCCCCGAACTCAGGGAGCAGTCACTTCCCCCCGCCTCACGCAACTACTGGTCTGCCTTCTGTGCTTGTGGATTTGCCTCTCCTGAGTATGTCATCTGCAAGGAATCCTACAAGATGTCTTTAATGTCTGGCTTCTTTTGCTGACTCTGTTAGTTTCTTCTGACTGGGGAGAGTATGGGACATGCCAGCAGACACAGTAGGAGTCGGAAACAGGAGAACAAGAGGTAACCGACAGAGCACACCCCTGGGGAGCAGAGTGAGGAGGAGCCCGGTGTGGACCGCCTTTGCACTGGGGGGGCCCACCTCTCCGTGAGCAGAGGGCATGGGGTGGGTGTTATTGAAAGGTCTTCATAATTCCTTTGTAGTCGCTGTGGCGCCACCTATTGGAGACTATGTGCCATGGCCAATACGGCACTGGCCCTTAGAGGCCATGTGCTAAGCCCCACCCTTCTTCCCGGAGTCAAGTTACGACTTCCTACTCCCCTTTATGTAATATCCTGTTACATTTTCCCACACTCACACCCAATGCTAGCCTGCTAGGTCAGCTAGCCCACTCCCTAACCCCCGCCTCTAGCCTGACCATATTTAACCATTGTCCACATGACCCGGCCCCCAGAAGATTCTCTTTCTCTGTCAATCATCTCCGTGCCCTTAAGCAATAAAAGTGTTTTATTGTTTTATTACTCTCTCTGCGCTGCCGGCCGGACACCTTTTAGTTATGAGGTCAGGACTACAAATTTGACGGTGGTGGAGAGACTTCCAGTGGTTCCCCTTTTCCCTGTGGAGTGAGAGGTTGGCTGCCCGCTGTGAGGAAGAGGAGAGGTGGTGCTGTAGGTTCGAAGAGAACAAAGATGACTGGAAGCAGCTGCTGTAGAAAAGGGGGAAAATCTTGCCAGGGAAATAGAGGAAATTTTCCGGGTAACGCTGAGGGCCTGGGCGAGGCTGGATCAGGGAATCTGTAGTGACTTTAGTCCGTACTGTGATCCAGTTTTGTCTGCAGATCTCAGCAGCCTGGTCAGTGGTGTCCACACGTAACCCTTGGAGCTATGACACCAGCTGGTGACCTTGAGGATACAAACTTAGCACACAGAGGGTGGCAGAACAGAGCACAGTTGCCGCCCCTCCATCTGTCCCACATACAGTCAGTCCGGATAATTCTGTTCATAAGTTAGATTTCATTTCTCCTCTGCTCAGAGCTTCCTGATGCCTTTCTATCGCTCCAAGAACTAGCACAGTTCTTCACCTTGGTCCACAGACTGCACAGGCGCTCTGTCTTACCCTTCGGTCCTCTTCCTCCGTTCTCTTCCAGGCCAGCCTCTGGGCACCTTGCTGATCTTGACTCTTCCAAGCACATTCCAACCCCCGGGCCATTTCCCTGCTGTTGTGTTTTGCATGGAATGACCTTCGCCTGCTGCCTGGCCTGTTCCCTCGGTCCCTTTAGTTCTCTTACAGTGTCACCTCATCAGAGAGATTCTCTGGCCACCGACTTTCTAAATGTTAAATGTACCCTACCTCCACCCATTCACCTTCTTCTTGCTGCTTTACTGTGCTTCAAGTGCCTGGCACCTACTAGCTGTTCAACAAGTCTTTTTTGAATGCATTAATTAAAAAAAAAGGTCAAGGCCTTTGAGCCCTTGAAGTGACCCTTGACCCCCGGGCCCCAAACTTCTTGTCATAGGAGAGAGCTGCCCACTGCCAGGATGGAAGGAAGGTGCTTGAGGCTGAGGGAGAAGGGATGGGACACTGGGCACGAAGACACCTATCTTTGGTACCCTGGGCACAGCTTGCCCACTCCCCCATGGCCTGCCCCTTGGAGAAACTGAAACCAGAAATCTACCTCTTTTGGGTTCTCACCTGTGTGGCAGCCCCTGTGTTTGGTTTCTGAGAGAGAAATTGCACACTTCTTCCACCAGAATGAACCTGGAGCGCTCAGAACCTCTGCCCCTTGACAAGTAACAGGAACCTGAAATCGTGATTTCCACAAACTAGAGGTTTCAGTTTCCTTGCACCACAAGCCTAGACTACAGGTCCTTGGGTCGGGAGAGGGGTGGCAGCCCCCTCATGTTCTTGGTGGCTCCAGGTCCTTTTACCCTTCTGCTTCCCCATCCTCAAGACTTGGGGGAAAGGGCTGCTTGAGCAGAGTCCTGAACAGCACGCAGCTCTCTGGGGAAGAGCTTCCCAGGCCAGAGCACATTGCAGACACCAGAGAGAAGCTGCTAGAACCTGCGCCAGAGCTGGGGGACAGGCGCCCCTCTGCAGCCCGCCTTCAGTGGTGAATCCAACTGCCCCCCATCGGCTTCTCTGTGGGGATGGAGGTGCTGCTCAGCAGGTGAAGCTGCTAGGACGGGGCCCCCTCAGCCGTGTACCACGGCCAGCACTCCACAAGCACCAAGGGCTGTGTCACCTCTGAGAGCGTTAACGACGGGCCCAGCTCTTGCTAAAATTTTCACCTGTATTTACTCTTCCCGAGAGCAGAATCCATAGCATTATCACCTCCAACATACAGGGTCACAGTAGGCTCCTCAGGCTCTCCCAGCCGGGCACAGGAAGGGCGGGCATAGAGAGTCTGGAACACTGGCACAGCTCTACAGCCAAAATGCGCCATAAGCCCGCCCATGTCCTTTGCCACAGCACTGCGCAGCTTCTCCATCTCCCGCATGAAGTAGTTCGGGAGTGTGCAAGGTGCTCTGTTCGGAGGGGGCAGTGCTCTCAGTTTGGAGGGCCCTCCTTAGGGTAGGAGGACCTTTAGAAGACTCCACCCCACACCTTGCACACAGGCGCGCTGAGCCAGAAGGCTGGGATGATTTGAGGCTGCCGTACTGTCCGTTCCTTCCTGCCCCTAACTCAGGCTTAAACTTGACAAGGGGGATTGTAGACAGTCAGGGGCCTGGCACTGCCCAACTGAGAAAACATGCGCTGTGAGGAGGATTATGTAAAGAGGGGATGTGGTTCACGCCCAGCTGGAGCCCTGCCGCGGTGACTTCAGCATCCCAGCCGCACTGGCGGGCTTGGTGGCGTTGGCTTGCGTTTGCCTCACACTGCCGTTCTGCCGGCTGCAGTGCCAGCTGGCTCCAGGGTGCGTGCCACTCCCCGACATTTTGGCAGCTCCTCCGGTGCTACTGGTGGTGCCAGGCGCCAGGCCATGGTTCAGGCACTCCTCACCCCCGGGGCAAGAGAAATGCACAGGGCCCTAGTCATGGCCTCAGGAGAGGCTGCATCCAGCCCCGTCCTTCCACAGAAGTGGAAACCAAGTCCCAGACAGGTGGTTGAACGTGCCCAAGATCCCGAGGCTAGTTGGCGGCAGAACCTGAGCCAAGACTCGCCTGCTCAGTTTCTTCCTCCTGTGGACTGTGCTCCTCACTCTGCCCTTGGTGAACCTCTGTGCTGCCCCCTTCTCCAGACCAAGGGCTGTCTGTCTGTCTGTCCCCACTCCCCCTTCCTCTCGATCTCCCTCTCCCTCTTTCTTTCTCTCCTCACTTAAGGCCCCCCCTCGAGTCGCCACCCCTCATGCGCATGCGCAGCAGCAACCTCCACCCTCAGCCCCTGCCCTTGCCCCTCTACACCACTCGTCCCTTGGAAGGCGGAGAGCAGCCCCGTTCCAGAAAACAAGTCAGGCCGCATCACGCCGGCATTAAAAGCCGCTGTTAGCTTCACCTCACCCAGCGAATGGGTCCTTGGTACCACGTTCTAGTCCCGACCTGCCTTCCCAGGTTCATTCTCAGTGCATACCTGTTCACCTCGGGCATGCCAGCCGCAGAGCTCACCTGAATAGGGCTGCTGCAGGTGTTAACATCTGCGCGTGTAAAGCTTCTGCAGCGTAATAAGAACGCAGCAGATACTGGCTGTCACCTGAGTGGGCTGGGAACTTCCCCAAGAGGTAGCTTCCACGTGTGTGGGCTGACGGAGGATATCTGGTCTACTCTCCAACCCGGGACACACGCCCTTCGGCCTAACGCTAGGCCAGATTTTCTCTTCCAGATCCTAGCTATTCACCCGGGAAAACAGGTAAATTGAAGAACCTCTGTCCACTTTCCTCACCTTTCTTTTTCCCAGAAAAAAAATTGCAATCGTCCCTATGAAGTGGTCAGACAGTTCATTATTATATCCCAGCCCACAGAGTAAGGGAGCTCCTGTCCAGTTCAATCCCCACAGCCATAGCTGCAGGTCTGAACAAAGGGCTGAGACAGGACACTGGGAATGTCACCGCAGGTCACAGGGGCAGAGCAGATAGGAGCGGCTCTGCCTGTTCTAACTGCTCATTCCCACATGTGGGAAGTTACAGACAGACAGATCAAAGCCCAGAAGCCCTGCTTCCTGAGTTGGTTGTATTACACCCAGGGGGAGCAGCCGCCAGTCCCAGGGGTGCAGGGAAGGTAGCCCTGAGGCCAGCCGCTGTTGGTGCCTCAAGTTGTCCATCTGCACCTCTGTCAATCTGTCCATCCAGAGTATATTCATTTTGCCTCTTTCTCATGTTTATTGTTGAATAATACCCTGCAGGACAGTAAGGAAAATCAGAAAAGCAAACTAGCAGAACTCACTTTGGTTCTTTCTTATAATAAAAAGATGATAAGATACGAAGAAGGTGAGCTAATGTCCCCTCTCCTTTATTACAGTTAATTTTTTATTTTCTGAAAGATTTCAAAAGATGGAAAAGTGTGACAAATAAGCTAGCAGCCACCCACCTTCCCGCCCCCTCCTCCAATGAACATTAACCTTTTGCCATATTTGCTTTGAGGGTTTTGTTTTGTTAGGAAACAAAATGGCCCAGGTCCAGTTGCAGTTGCCTCCCCCGACCTGATCCCACCTTCCCTCTCTCTGAGCTCTTTGTGGCTGGCGCACAGCCCTTGGCAGGGTTTAGACTGTTACCAGACCCCTAGATCTGAGCTCCATAACAACCCATAGTACCGTTCCATAAGACTCTGTGGGAGAACAAGGAAAATTAGCAGAGTTTTGGATTTTATTTGCATGAGATCATGCTGCATGCCTCCTTTTGCAACTTGCTCGTTAATTTTATTGGATTTTTTAAGTTATGTGTGTAAAGCATGCTGGCTGTAACAAGCCAAACAACAGAGAAGGGGAGAAGGGGAGTTAACTGTCTCTACCTGCGCAACTCCAACCCACCTACCTCCCCACGTAACTACTGTGAACAGTTAACATCCTTCTGCACCTTTTCTTCTGCTGGCACAAATGTACACAGTGGCTCAACGCTGGGAAATGATCCAAGGAAAGTTCAGGAAAGGCTGGAGCATCCAGGAATAGCACCGTGCGCAGACAAGGCCTCTCTCGTGCTGCAGAGGGTAAGAAGAACAGAGGTCAGAGGCCACAAGGGGAAAATGTGCAACTTCCCCTGTCGTTAACCCGCAGCCCACGGGTTTCTGCACTTGTACCCGCTCACCACAGGCCCTGTGCGCTGAAGCGTGTCCAGGCCAGCTGAGGAGCAGTGTCCCTTCTACTACGTGCCCTTGGAGGGTCTGCCACTGGCCAAGCTGGGTGACCATGGCAAGGCATGTAACCTATGTAGTAAAGGGATCCAAGACCTCTGAAGTCCTTCCTGGTTGGCCACTGTCAACCGGATGGTTCTAGCAAAGAGATGATCTGCTAGAGGGTCACGGGTGGGAAGCCAAGCTGATGTAGCTCCAACTAGGTCTTTGGGGATAACCAAGAAGAGGGTCACAGGGATCTGTGTTTTCTGATCGCTCTGTGAATGCAGAAGGAGGACACGGAATGCCAAGAAAGTGCCCAGCTGGTGATGTTTTGTTTTATTTACTTTTAAAAAGTGGAATAAGACCAGACATGCTATGTTTGAAGCTAGACAAGAATGATTTCTTTTCCCTGCCAAGAAAAAAAATCCAATAATTAGAGCTTAAGATTTGTTTTTTCAAAATTAGTTTCATGTTGCTGCAGAGCAATGAGAGAACATGAATGTGATACTTGGGTCAGGCTCTGCCTGCTCAGCTTTTAGCTCCAGAGGCTTTGATGGCTCGAGGGGAGGTATAGAGCTTGCTGGGACTTACAGAGTGAGATCTGAAATGATCTCTAAGGTACCGCCCAGTTATTAAATTCGATAATTCTGAGCCCCCCATTCATCCATTCAACAGCTGCTTTTTTTTTTTTTGCGGAGTGCTGATTATGTGTGGATCATTGTTCTGAGGAGCTGAGAAAATCAGGGAAAATCCAGACAAATCTCCACCCTCATGGAATCACGAACTTATAAACAATCTCAAAACACAACGATTTCTGCTTTACTTCAGTGACGCAGGCATGTACCTTTCAAAGTGAATGGGCCCCAAAATACCCTCATTCCAACGCATAGGACCATGAAGGCCTCAGGCGCAGTCTCTCTCTGACCTCCTCCTGTGCTCCTGTCTCTCCTTCCCCACAAGATAAGACAGAGAAGTGAAAATTCTGCTTCCCCAATGCAGGTCACAGAAACTAGAACTGTTCCTCAAACCCAGCCATAAAACCTAAAATATTATTCTTTCTCTTACCTGTCTAAGAGCTGACCCGAAAGAAATTCTTTAAACTATCTTGTCTAATAGTAAACCATTAAGTCTCCATTCCAGAGTGGATCCTGTCCCACACCCAGGAGGAAGGGCTACTGCACAGAGGTCAAAAGAATCACAACAGGCCTTGTTGGGTTTCCCCACTGAACTATTCCTATAGGTCACTCCCTCTGTCTAATCATATTTCTACTTAGCCATGTATGCATCATCCAAGATAAGCATAAAAGTGGATAGTTCACCCTGCCCCTTTGGCTCTTTAGTCTGGAGGTTCCTGTGCCACGTAAAGCTATGACTGAATGAATTTGTTATGCTCTTCTCTTGCTAACATGTCTTCTGTTACAGGGATGTCATCCAGGGCCTTTTCCATGGGCAGAAAGGGGGTCACCCTCCTTTTCACCCCGACAGCCTCCTTAAAGCTAAAAATGGCTCTTTTACCCGCCATTTTTTCCTTTCTCTCTTTTTCTCTTGTTTGGCATTGGTCCCAGTGGCAGCAACCTGTAGCCCTTTCTGGACTGGGCACTGACCTCTCCTCAGACCAAGGCAGAGAGATTCATGGCCTTCCTGCCCCTTCCATCAATGCCATCAGTACTGGATCCAGGCACCCCTTAAGCCACCCAGTGAGGCCTTTCCAGAGCACTTAATAACTTGCGCACAGCTCTGGATGCCCCAGCCCTGGGTCCTGGCCAGGCTTCTCCAAACTGCTTTCATTAGCGATGAAAGGGTTGTGCAGTGTTGCAGTCAAAGCCTTTTTGCTGTCTCCCTTGCAGAGCTGTGAAATCCTGCGCAGGCTGTGGCCTCTCCCCAGTGCCCCTCACCCCATCAGAAAGCTTTCCAGTCTTGCAAGTGGGCCTGTGGGCCAGCAGGAGCTTCCACTAACCTCTCCACATAGCCTCAAGTTGGTGGCACAGGTATGATGGGTTATCTGAATTTAATGTGTTTCTAGAAAATATTCTGGGTATCAAATTTTAGGATCACAAGTACATATACTTCATTATATAAAATAGGGAAAATGATGGTGCATTCTCAACCTATCCCAAAACTCCAATCAGTACCCTGTTAGTCACTGAAACACTCAAACACTTACATAACAAGCCACCAAGGAGCTCCGAATAATAGAATCAACAGTAGCTGCAGCACTCGGGAACTTGCTAAAAATGCAAATTCTCAAAAAAAAATGCAAATTCTCAGGCCTGCCCCAGACTTACTGAAGCAGAAGTTCTGGGATGGGCTCCAGCAGTCTGAATTTTATCCAGACTTCCGGCAGACTCTGATGCTTACCAAGGCTGCAGAAACACAGATATAAAACATTTAACAAGTGTCCAGTTACCATTTAATAAGCTGATTAGTTGATACCTTTGTACATGAGACATGATAACACTAGATTGGATTATTAGATATGAATGAAATTTTTCTCCTTCACCACAATATAAAAATTACAAATTAATTTGTTAAAGATTCAAAATTAGGACCAGAGATATAGCTCAGTGGCACAAGCACCTGTCTGGCAAGTGCAAAGTCCTGAGATTGATTCCCAGTACCAAAAAAAATCAAAATTAATGCATAGAATGCACACAAATAATTACAGACATGAGCATAGCTATGTTTTATCTCTTACATTTTTGTCTCGTGATACGTTATCAATTTTGAATTTTTCTTCTAATTTACAAGTTTGACTTTCTTTTTTATCTTTATTAGTACCTGTTTGCTGTACATGATTACATTCACTGTGGTAATTTACAAGTTTTTTAAAACTTCTTAGGCTCAACTACTTTATTCACGGCATCTCAAATCTCTTAGGAGACATCTTCACTATAGGTAGAAGAATATCGGACTAGAAGGCGCTTCTGCCAGAGAGCTGAGATGCACGAAAGCACATCTTCCACCCTCCCAAAAGTTGCTGGAGGGAGCAGAGATTACGATAGAATATTTTGGATTCACACAGCAAGTTTGAAGGAGAAATGTTACCAAGCCTTGACGGCACACCTTTGGAGAGTGCAAGCGCAGACCGTCGTGGATACCTAGCTGTATCTTTCTTGGGGCTGAATGGTGCTGCCTGGCTTCTGTGCGTGTTCAGGCGTCGGGACTCAATGCAGGAGCAGCTGCTGCTCCTGTGGGGCTCCTAGGCACACCCAGCCCTCCCTTCACATTTGTTCCTGCAGGGCCATGAGAAACGTCAGGTAAGACTTCATCCTCCATCTGCCCCTGAGTGCTTCAGCAGAGAACCAGGAGCAGAAGGAAGTCAGTTTCCTGGGTTACAGTGCAGGCCTGTGGTGTCCAAGTGTGCAAGATCAGGATGATGAGGACATGGAGCTTGGCTGGCCTCTGTGGGCTCCCAGCACAGGGGAGCTGGAGCTCCAGGCTAGAAGGGAGACTCCAAGGACATGTCTTTTACCCCCTGGGAAGGGCAGTACTCACTGCACAATGCCACGCATTATTTGTGTGCTAAACAATAATATGTGATACCCTTAAAATTTTGTTAAGCTACTGGGTCTCTCAAAAACTGATTTCGATCTTGATTATTAAAAGTAACCACTGCATTGCATTCTTAGGGGACGCCTTAGCAAGAAACTCCCACGCTCCCTACTGCCTGTGGGACGTGGCACAGTAAGGAGGTCCTGCCCCGTGCTGCTGCTGTCAGTGTGAACTCTGGAGGTCAGGGGTGAGGAGGGGTCTTCCTGTCATGAGCACGCTCTTTGATCTGGGCCAGCACCTGCTCTCCCTGCGCCAGTGGAGATACCTCGAGGTGCTGGGTAAATGCAGGGCTGCAGTGGCTTCTCTAGAGGAAGAAATCAATGGTGCCTGGTTTTCAAGGCTTATCCAGGGGAATTCACGGTCCTCACCTCCCATGCTTGTGTCCTGTTAGGAGGAGCTTCTCTTCCCTCATGCAACAACTAATGGTGTTTTGCCTTTTAAGGTCTTGGCACTAAGCTCGCAGAGGGGTGAGGCCAGGCTAAGGGTTAGAGGGCAGATGTGACCTGCCCAAGAGGGCAACAGGACTCTAGAGCCAGAGAACTCTGGGGAGAGGGGGCACTGCAGAGACAGAGGCCTGCACACGTCCTCTGCAGAGCCCTGGGAGCCTCGAGCTATGGGGAGGCTCGCTGTGACCCAGGGCAGTAGGTGGTGGGCAGTGACCACACCGTTGCTTGTTCTCCTACACCAAGGGACACAGCTTCCTGGCACCGTGTAAACCCAGGATTCCCATGTGGTCCTGTGGAGATGGGACACAGCTCCATGCACAGCTACCTTGGGCTTCCCACCCGTTGGTATGAGGGTGCTCACTTGGATGGATCAATTCTGGTTTTTTAAAGGAGAAATAAGATTCTTGTGTCTCAATGTTCTGCAACAAATCTATACCTGTCACTGAGGATAACTGCAGGGGAACCTGACAACTTCCCAGCGCTGAGGCATGAGGGGAAGCACCACAGGGAGGGTCAACCTGAGAAAGAAAGAAAGAAAATCCTCTGAGAGAAGTAAAGAGATTCTCTCCTTACACTCTTGGCCATACACTAACAAAGGGGGAGACACATAGGACAAAGGCAAAATGGAAAGGGCTCCTGGTACCAAGAGAAAGTCTGCCAGGACTTTGTGGGGTTCGGAGAAGGTGGGGCGCACAGTCTGGACTGTGGGCCAGGGCCTCATGCACACTTGGTGACCAAACATGGAGCACTCACTGTGCTTCCATCAGAGCTGGAGCCTGCCAGAGAACCGGGGTGGGGCTAAAACCCCAGAAGAAAGCTTCTCACAGTCTTCTGAGTGAAGCAAGAGGCTCAGCCACAGTGGAGAATTTGGCCATACTGGAGTAGGAGACCTTGACTCACCCTCCAATCACATAATTCACATCACTGAATTTGGTGGGGGTTTTTGTTTTGTTCTGTTCTGTTTTGTTTTTTCTTGTTGTTGTTGAGACAGGACCTAACCCTAACCATCAGGCTGGCCTCTAACACAGGCTGATCCTCCTGCCTCAGCCTCCCAAGCATTGGGATTACAGGCGTGTGCCACAATGTCCAGTTGGATTTGTTTTTTGTTCACTAAACTGAACACACCTCTGTGCCAAGAGCTCGAGAGAAGAATATTGTCCAGCATACTGTGATAGAAAATCCTAAAAATCAGGCATTGATATATTTGCTCAGCCATTCCTCTCTCAGAAACAGCCGTGTTTGTACGCCTGTTGGCCTGAGCTGATTCAACCAGCAGAGGTGAGAGATACAAAAAATGGTGGCCCTTAACCTTGTGGCCGCTGTGCTCGCTCATTTACACTGGTCCATCCTCCTCCTGCAGAGTGTATTTCTGTTCCTACTTTTAATTGGCCCACACTCACTCTGCAGAGCATGTTTCTTTTCCTACCTTTAATAAATGTGAAATCTCATTACCTTTTGTGTTTGTTTTGTTTAATTCTTTGTCCAGGACAAGAGGAACCGAGCAGGACTCTCTAGAAGGAGTCCACAGCACCCCAGAACCCCATAACAACCTGACTATGGATGTACCAATATGCTTCCCTTTCTTGGGAATATGGAATTGAGAGAGACAGTGGGCTGTTATCAACACGGGAGAATAACATATCAAGTAAACTTGGGAGCCACAGACAGGAAGAGGCAGGAAACACAGTCCATCCATGGACCAGGGAGACAGAGGGAACGAGGATGAAATAGAATCCCAGAGGAAACCAGAAATAAGGAAGCATTCCAGTGGCTTTCCTTTCTGGATCCCCATCTTGGAGCCTTGGATATTCTTCAGTATCTTTAAATTTTTCTCTTTTGGCTCAAACTAGCTTTCATTGATGATGTAACCTGCAACGAAAAGGTCTTAACTCACCCATAAAATGTGTAGCAAACCAACAAAGAAAGTGACTTGCCGTATTCTTTTATTGTGGTAAAATGCACACAACAGGAATTTAGCACTTAGCCGTTTTAGGGGTACAGCTACACACACATAGTTGTGACTCACCACCACGGCCATCTCCAGCAAGTTTCACCATTCTCTTCATCTGGTCTGCCATGATACGAGGGTGACAGCCATCATGCTGGAGTGTGAGCTAAGATGGTGACATACACCAGCACTGGGAGATGGCTTTGGGTGCATTTGCTTTAGTTATATTCCCAGCATGAGTTTATTGTTAGGTGACTTGCTCCTTCCTCAAAATATTAGAGTTTTTTTTTTAAATCATGACTATTGGAGGGTTCTAATGAAATCATTGTTCATTTAAAAAGTTTTGGCTTTGATTTAATAATCCTTTTGCTAAACACCACTGGTAGCTTTAAACCCAGACCCACACCCATGCAATTCCCATGTTACATCTGAGAAGCGTTGGAAATTCCTCCAAGGGTCACTCGTGGTCTCTCCATCCTAGTCATCGGGTCAGTGAAGAACAAGGGTCAAGGTCACACAGCAGTAATTACTATAGCCCCAGCCTCGGTGACTCACAGCAACAAAGAATTACTTTACCCACATGCTCCTTGTTTATCAAGGGTCAGCTCAGCTCTGCGCTGTGGTCATAGGACTCAGGAAGCTGGAGTCATCTGCATCTGTGAACGCCATCCCATGGCAGAGGAAAGGCAGCCCAGTGAGTCAGAAGCCAGCTGTTAAAGACCCAGTTCACATCTGTTCAGAGCCCACTGGCCAGAGCAAGTCACAAGCCACTCTTGACTTGGAAAAAAACATGTGTGTATTGAAGACAGGGTCCCAAGGGAGGCACTGGAATATTCGGCAGAAAATAATAAAACCTGGTCTCAGCCTGCCAGCCCTCAGCCATGAATTGCAGGCTTTGGACTCATCGGCCTCCATACTGCACTGAGCCAGTTCCTTAAAATAAATCTCTGTTGCTGTGTACACGCATCCCATTGGCTCTGTTTATCTAGAGAAGCCTGACTAATACATCTTGCTATCCTTTATTTTTTTTTCCATTTTGTTCTTTGTCTTTCACAAACACTAAAGTCAACCACCATAAACAAAACTGCGGTTAAGTATCCTTAACCCTCAGCATGCCCAGTGATTCCCTCAAATTTATGAGATCTTTATTTTTCATCACCAGGACGAACATGTTCACTTTTCTACTTATATTTATCTTATCAAGCAACACTGCAAATGTCAGAAAATACTTACATACTTGCCTCCAACTGTCACTGGTGAAAGTGACAAAATTACGGAATGGAGCCATGGGCTGACAAGCATAAATGATAAAGCACAGACAGAAATTGCTGAGATTTTAGGAAGTCAAAGAAATGATATTCTTTTTCCTTCCCTCCTGAGTTTGGAATTGCTTGAGACACAGAAGTCTGACTGCTGGAAATGGAAGTGTCACTTTTATTATCTATAAAGCTGTTAGAGTACAAGGCTAGGGCCAAGGAAGCTGCCAAAGGTTTAACTTTGGGTTCAGACACTCCCTGCCCCGTGGACAATGATTTACTCTGCACAGCAGAGATGTCAGCCAAAACACAGGCCATCCCCGAAGGAGAGCAGGAGGGCCTGGGCCCAGCTTTCCCTCAGGTTCGCCTACCAAATGTCTCTTCTGCGAGGAAGACGGAGGGGCCGGGGAGGGAGGTCAAGAGTGAGGCTCTAGGTAACACAAGTGTCCCTGGTAACAGTGTCCAGCTATTCATTCTTCTGCCGCATCGGGTTTCTCTATCAAGTATGCCATCCCTGGGAGACACAGCAATTACCTAGGGAAGGGAGGAACAGCAAACAGTCTGGAGCAGTGGTGGCAAACCAGTAGCACACATACCACGGCATAGGCAGTTTGTATCACTGAAAGCTCTAAAAGCCTCGCCATCAATGGCCTATCAGGTGTTGCTCCTGCCCCTCCCCTAGACCTTCTCACTGAGCTACATCCCCAGGTTTTTTTCTTTTTTTTTCTTTTTTTTTCTAATTGTGGGGCAGAGGGTGCTCACTGAAGTTTGTGAGTCAAATTTTTTTTTTTTTTTTTTTTTTTTTTTTGAGACAAGATCTTTTGCTAAATCACTAAATTGTCTGGTGTGGGCTTTAACTTGTGATTCTCCTCCCTCAGCCTCCCAAAGGGCTGAGATTAAGGTATGTGCCACCACACCCAACTTGCTGCCTTCTGATAGCAGAGAGGACCACTGAGAGTTCTCTTAGGATTACTGCTGGGCAGTGTACATTTTATCTCAAGAGGCAAAGGTGTAAAGATGACCTTGAGAATGAGTAGATCAAATAAAAACATTAGTTAAATCCATTTTGCTCCAGTTAGCTATTGCTGCATAATAATCCATTCCAAATTCAGGATCAGGGAACGACAATTGGAGGTGGGTGTGGTGGTGCATGACTGTAATCTCAGCTACTCAGCAGGCTGGGGCAGGAGGACCACAAGTTTGAGGCCAGCCTGGGCAACTTAGTAAGATCTTGTTTCAAATGTTTAAAAAGGGATGGGAATGTAGCTCAGTGGTAGAGCGCTTGCCTAGTATGCACAAGGCTTTGAGTTCAATGCTCAGTCTTTTTATTGAAAAGAAAAGAAGAAAAAAAATCTATTGTCTCTGTGGGATCTGGGATAGACTGGGCTCAGGAGACAGAGGCTGGGGTAGACTCATGCCAAAGTCTTCCTCATATGCATACCTGCCATCCGAGCTAGGAACCTCAGAGCTGGGCCTCCCTGGGCAGCTCTCCTCTGAGTGACTTCCCCACCTCAGCTCTCCTGACTGTGGCTGTCACGTCACTAAGTGCTCCAAAGGTGCATGTTGAAGTGAGGGAGGAACCAGGCCACAGCTCGATGATCAGATCCCTGCAACTGCACAACAGGTGTCCTCAGTCCCTACAGAGGCTCCAGCTCTGACGGGCAGCGTGGCAAGGTACGGAAAGAGCATGTGGAATTGGGCGTAGGGCTGTGGTAC